TGGTTACCTTGAACCTCGTTATTAAGTATAACTGTCCAATTTTCAACGAAGTCCAGATGCATTACTAAATGCTGAGTGTGTTTGCAAGTGAAGATTTCATAGCTTTGATTTTAGTACGCCGAATATTTGGGATGCGCATATGGCCACTTGTAGACATTATGCATTCAATGAGCTCGCTTCGAAAAAACGATAAACTAGCAATCTGTTGTATCAACTCTCCATTCAACCATTTAGCATAACAAATAGTATCAAAATCTTTAAATCCTTCGAATCCTAAAGATGATTTTGTTATGCCATCTGCACCTGAACATGAGGTGCATTCTTGGAAAAAACAAGTCGTCGTGGCTTCAGAACATACTATAGCTGACAATAATTTTTATTCGCGTGAGCGTCTTACAGAGGCTTTTTTCTTTGGCTTTTGATTTTTAGAACCTTTTCTATATGGACCCATTTTTAAGCGTTAAAGAAAAACTTTTAATACACTTTGGCGCGTTTTCGAAGCCAACAGCTGTGTATTGTGATATACGAGGTCTGTCCGGAAAGTATCGGGCCTACCTTTATATTTTCGTGCTAGCGTTATTCTTTATCATCTGGTGGGTGGCATCCTTCAAAGTAACCCCACTTGATTGAATAACACGGTTCCATCGATGTTTCCACTTTTCAAAACAGTCCTGGAACTCACTTTTAGGGATAGCCTTAAGTACACTCGTCGCATTGTTTTCAACCGTTGTTTTGTCATCGAATCGGTGTCCTTTGAGTGGTTTTTTTAGTTTTGGAAACAGCCAAAAGTCACAAGGGGCTATGTCGGGACTGTATGGAGGTTGTCGAAGCAATGCGATATTGTGTTTGCTCAAAAACTGCTGCACAAGATTGAATGAATGCGCTGGCGCATTATCGTGATGGAGAAGCAAGTCACCACTTTCCCAAAAGTGCGGCCGTTTTCTTCTTACTGCGTCGGGCAAACGTTTTAAAATTTGAAAGTAGTATTCTTTATTGATTGTCTGACCTGTTGGTGCATATTCGTGATGTACAACAACTTCACAATCGAAAAAATCCGCAAGACTTTAAGCGTCGTTTCATCACTGTAGATAAAACATGGATACATCACTACACTCCTGAGATCAAAGAATAGTCTAAACAATGGGTTACCAAGGGGGAATCTGCTCCGAAAAAGGCGAAGACAATTCCTTCGGCCGAGAAGGTTATGGCGACTGTCTTTCGGGATTCGCAAGAAATAATCTTCATCGACTATCTGGAAAAGGGTAAAACCATTACAGGCGAATATTATTCGTCATTATTGGATCGTTTGAAAACCGAGTTGCTAGAGAAATGTCCACGATTGGTACACAAAACTCATCTTCCACCATGACAATGCGCCAGCTCACGCCACAGCAGTTGTGACCGCAAAACTGATGGAGATAGGGTTCTAACTCGTTTCATATCCCCCCTATTCTCCAGACTTGGCTCCGTCGGACTACTATTTGTTCCCTAATATGAAAAACTGGCTGGCGGGGAAAAGATTTTATTCAAACGAGGAGGTGATTGCAGAAACGAATGCCTATGGAGCCTATATCCAGACTTAGACAAATCCTATTATTTGGAAGGGATTAACAAACTAGAGCAGTTGGATGAAGTGTACGAGGTGTGATCAAAAAGTAAGGTGAATTTTGAAATTTAGCGGGCTACGTCCGTTCGATCTTCGACTTTTTTATTTGGTTATGTCGGTACGCTCGTCTAGAACATACGTTCCAAATTTCAGCTTTGTAGTATGTTTGGTTTGTTTGTGAGAGGCATCAAGGTTAGAAGTGTTTTGCGTGCTCCACGATTTGCTGCTGTCTAAAAACATGGATCAAAGAGTTTGCATTAAATTTTGTGTGAAAAATGGAATCAAATGTTCCAAAACACTTGAAATGCTGAAAGTGGCATGCGGTGAGTCTACTTTAAGCCAAAATGTTTACAAGTGGTATAAACTCTTCCAAGAAGGCCGAGAAGACACCGACGACGAACCTCGTTCTGGACGCCCCAGTACATCAACAACTGATGAGAATGTTGAAGAAGTGAAGAAAATAGTGTTGGAAAATCGTCGAATTACCATTAGAGAAATTGCTGATGATATTGGCATCTCATTTGGTTCGTGCCAATCAATTTTGACGAGTGTTTTAGACATGAGACGTGTGTCAGCGAAGTTTGTTCCGAAATTGCTCAATTTCGACCAAAAGAAACGTCACATGAGCATCGCCTAAGAGCTACTGAATGACGTCAACGATGATCCAGATTTACTCAACAGGGTTATAACAGGTGACGAAACATGGGTATACGGTTACGACATCGAGACTAAGACTCAATCGTCCCAGTGGAGGCATTCTGAATCACCAAGACCAAAAAAAGCACGCCAAGTTCGATCAAATGTAAAGGTTTTGCTTACAGTTTTCTTTGACTGCAGGGGCGTGGTGCATCATGAGTTCTTGCCACAGGGTAGAACAGTAAATAAGGAATATTACCTGCAAGTTATGCGCAATTTGCGCGAAGTAATCCGCCAGAAACGTCCGAATTTGTGGAAAAATAAAAATTGGCTTTTGCACCATGATAACGCCCCTGCTCACACATCGTTGCTTGTGCGCGAATTTTTGGCTAAAACCAACACAGTAACGATGCCACAGGCACCGTATTCCCCAGATCTGTCCCCCTGTGACTTCTTCTTGTTCCCAAAACTGAAGAGGCCCATGAAAGGACGGCGTTTTGCCACGATTGAGGAGATAAAAACGGCATCGAAGGATGAACTAAACAAGATCACAAAAAATTATTTTTTGAAATGCTTTGAGGATTGGAAAAAGCGTTGGCACAAGTGCATTATATCCGAGGGGGATTACTTTGAAGGAGATAAAATAAAAATTGATGAATAAATAAATATTTTTTGAGAAAAATAAAAATTCACCTTACTTTTTGATCATACCTCGTATAAGCCTGAAAGGAGACTATGTTGAAAAATAAAAAAGATTTATTAAAAAAAATCAAGCAGTTTTTATTTTTGCACGGACTTTTTAAACGACCCTCGTATATTTGTATTCAATTTGATTAATGTACTTGCGATTGCTTGAACAATTTTATATTGATTATTTCGTAATTCTCCAATGACTGAGCAGTACACAACGACCGTTAGCGTCGCTTCACTTTCCTTTTCCATTCAAATGCTGAAACACAGCTAGATACAGCTTAATGTGATTAAAAAGAATAGCAGAGCAAAAGAAGAAAGAGAAAGAAAGAGAGAAATAAGTAAAATTGCTAAAATAGTTACAAATTGATCGCAAATAATCTAAAAACGGCATACTATACGCTACGCATGTAATACTATTATACGCGTATCTCCTCTGTCGCTGTTACCCCCATCATTCGACTATTTCGGTGCGTTCAGTTGAAAACATCCGACTTCCGTGTCGTTTCTGGTCTATTTTGCATATTTTTTTTCTATAACCAGAATAGACATTTTTAAGCGAAAAATATGTACTCGTACTTTTCGAAACTGTTTTTAAAATTCAAATGTAACTTGCCGTTTCAACTGGGGAATCGTCGAAAAATGTCGTATTAATTTGTTTAGACGCTGATTGCGTAAAAAGTAACTGCTTCACAGAATCAGAATTTTGTGCACTTAAAGTAAATATATTCAGCTACTATTATATTAAATCTCAGCTTTGTAAGTTGAAAATTGACAGAGATACGAATTTTTTTTACAAGTGCAAAATATACTGCATTTTCTGATTTTTCTCGACTTGTAATGATGTTACAAAATCGCGCGAAAGCTCATTTCATTTATTATTCAACTACCTACAGCTTTTTCATTGAGACTGTTGCAATCGCTACATTATTGACACAGTTATAGGGAAAAAACAAAAAATTTGCGATTTTTTGCTTAAAATTGTTAATAACCAATTCCGGGACAATATTTTAGTTAAAAAGTATGTTCAATTGAAGAGGGCAACATACTCTATACGATAGTACTATTGGTTCCCTGTCCATAATTATGCCACGAAAGTCTATACTGGTAGCTAGATTGCTTGGCCTAACAGTATGTAAGTTCTAAGCGACTATACGTTTCAAGAGAGGTCACTGTGTCCGAGTGCATACATGCTTACCTGTGCTACTTATTGATGGAGGGGTAAAGCGGAGACATGCAGCACAGAACCACTTAGAATATACTTAAATTTATACTAAAATTTTCACAGTAAACTCTCGAATTATTATACTTTTTATTTTAACTATACAAAATCGGAAAATCGATTTATTTATACTAGGATCCACCCCTTAATCCAGAATAAATTATTTTTGAGGTACTGTTGAACACTTACGACATAGTAATATAATAGAAGGAAACTTTATATCCAAAATTCGTAAAATAGCCTCTACTAAAATACTTCCGCAGGAAATTTTAAGAAAATTTTTCTGAGAAAAGCTTATCTTTAGACTAAACTTAAACATTGAAAATAAGTTCCTTTATACATCGAGAAAAATTCTGATATAGGTAACGGTATTGCAAAGAAATATTCGTCTTCAAATTTTACTTATTTAATACGTATCAACTAGACTAAGTTAATAGTCATGGTAAGTTTTGTTCGATTATAAACATAATTTTCTTTGAATTTTTTTGAAAAACTAATACGTTATTTTCGAGATCATAGGAAATTTACTAAAATATAAGAGCAGTATGTATTGAAAAATTATAGCTATTAAGAATTTTCTCGCTGTACTAATACAATACAAACTTATACTACGATGCGGTCTGTACAAAAGTTTATAAAAGGTTATTATTTTATTTTTATTTTTTTTTAGTATTTCTATGAACATAAATCATATTCTAATAATTTTGTCTCATCTTCAAGATATTTTTAATACAAACAATGCCATCAACTGACAACTTTGACAAAATTAAGCTTTCTAAATTTACTGCTTCATGAGAACTTTCTTGATAAGGTGGAGCGTACCTTATTATAATAATTTAATATTACCTCTTGAATGAAGAATTTTTGAACGACGTCATGGTCTTTCAAATTTGGCACTTTGGAACTGGTTTTCGCTGCTTCTTTTTCTGCTTTTCTACCTGCAATTGATATGATATTGATAAAAATAGTAGATTAAATTCTACAGATTTTGCCTCACCGTTATTCTAAATAAAAAAAACGTGTAACGTATAAAACCTAAATACAACAAAAACTAGTACATTTATTTAGATAAATTTAAAATAGATGATCTGTGAGTATTGTGGTAATATATAGAATAGGCTATTTTAATACTTTCACTTAAATATCTTTAACCAGGTAAAGTTTAACGGAAACTTTTTCAAACAGAAGTTACTGAATTGGTGAAGAGTTATAGTTACATTTATTGTAACCTTGAACATCATTTTCAAGGCCATATGAAGGTTAAATATATTTTCCCTTTTTCTAACTCCGATGTGCATCTCACAAAGAAAGTACCACAACACAATTCAGTGATTTTGATAATTCTTGTATATATATGGGTTATTCTTGGCTATTTCGATTCACTTATAACCCTTAGGTTACGGATTTTTTTTAATTTGGCACAATTTTTGTACACATGAAAGTGAGATTTTTCCCAAATTTTGATGTCGATACATTAATTATATCAAAAGTTATTAATTAAAGAAAAATTATAAAAAATTTTCAATCGGCTATATTTAAAAAACGAATAAAGATATCGAAGTCGGATTTTTTTCAAACTACTTATAATGCCTTAAAATTTCGAACTAATTACAACAATAAACAATAAAAAATTTTTTTCGAAAGTTATTAACTTTTTGTTTAAACAATTGCTAATATCTCAAAAAGTATATTTTTTTTTGAAAAATTCTTGCTCCTGCGTGTTCCTGAGGATTTTTGCTATCGAAATCAATCATAAAATTCAAGAGCCGGACATATCGGAAAGCGTAGCCCTAATCAAAAGAAGAAGCCTATACGTCGCAACGGCAGCGGGATGTCATCGTGGTCTTACGCTGGGCGTTTTCTTCTAATTAGGGCTACACCTTCCGATATGTCGGGCCCTTGAATTTTATGATTGATTTCGATAACAAAAATCGTCAGAAACACGCAGGTGCAAGAATTTTTCAAAAAAAAAAATACTTTTTGAGATATTTTTTAAACTAAAAGTTAATAACTTTCGAAAAAAAATATTTATTGTTTATTGTTGTAATTATTTCGAAATTTTAAGGCATTATAAGTATTATGAAAAAAATCCGACTTCGATATCTTTATTAGTTTTTAAAATATTGCCGTTTGAAAATTTTTTATCATTTTTCTTTAATTATTAATAACTTTTGATATAATTAACGTATCGACATCAAAATTTAGGAAAAATCTCACTTTCATGTGTACAACAATTGTGCCAAATTAAAAAAAATCTGTAACCTAAAGGTTATAAGTCAATCGAAATAGCCAAGAATAACCCAACCCATATATTGTAGTACATTTAAAAACAAGAGATTAATATTTTGTTATCGGCGGAAAAACATATTTAAGAGGTGAATCCACCATCAAAGTTCACTCAATAAAATAGTTTTCTTTTCAAATAACTTTTCATCTAATCAATATGTTTTAGTAAAACCAAGTGGGTAATAATCCTTATGAAAAGTAAAACAAATTCTGGTTTGTTTAGCTTTTGGAGGTTGTAACATCTATTTTTGATAGGTGAAAAATTAAAAAATTAAAATGAATTTAGTTTAGAACAGATATTGACATTTAGAAATAAAATAAAGTTAAATAGTTTCGTTATTTTTAATTAAAGTATAGGGATGGCAACTCTTATTTTTATATACAGGGTGTCCCATTTTAATTTACCACCCCCTAAAACAGGTTAATAATTTGCTCTGAGAAAAAAATGTTTCAAATAAAATTTGTTGGGTTCGAAGGGGGGCATCTTTTGGCTATTTCAGCTGCGACCTTGAACATGACCTTCAAGGTCATTTGAAAGTCAAGACCAAATTTTCATATGAAATGTGCATATTTTATGGCAGATTCGGATTCTACTAAAAAAGAGAAACACTTTTTGTCTGAATCATTTTTTGATCATCAATAGGTAGGTAGCTCTCTCTTTAACTGAAAAGAGAATTTGTTCTAGAAATAAGATGTTTTAGATGAATGTTACTAGCTTCAAACAAAGACAGAGGTATCCTTTGGATCACTTAAGGGAAGACCTTCACGTCCAACCACTTAAGGCAAGACCCCTTCGTTCAGCTAGTCACGGAAATTTCAATGTCTCAAGTGCTCTATCAATTGCCCATTTTGTTGAATGCACATTTGTATTCTCTGCCGAAAACTTCTTTGGACATCTATTAATGTTTGTGGGGTTAACGCCTGGAATGCTGCAACAATTCTCTCCATCATATTTTGTGCCGTCGTCGGGGCTTCCGCGTAAACTCTCTGCTTCACGGCTCCCCCACAGAAAGAAGTCCAATAGGGTCAAATCTGGCGATCGCGCAGGGAATTCACAGATTGGACTACCAATTCCAATCCAACTATTTGGGTATGTCGCGTTCAGAAATCTCCTGACAAGTAGTCGACGATGAACGGGAGCACCATCTTGCTGGAACCACATGTCTCGCCTTATTTCTAGCGGAATGTTTTCTAGAAGAGGTGGAATTTGGTTCTCGAGAATATCTAAATAAAGCTCGCCGTTTAAATTACGGTCATAAGAAGTTTAATATTCCTCCTAGTAGGATGACGAGCGTCCGGATACCTTTCAGCGTACAGCCTCGCTGCAGCCTTGTAATTGTCGTGACATTCTCCCAGAATCTTGATCATGTTGACTATCTCTACTGGCGTGTAGTCAGCCATTATCTGTTGTAGATAGATTTTTTAGGGAATCTTTAATCTTAAATTAATAATTTAATTTTTATTTAATCTGAAATTCAGAAAGTCAATGAAAACCTAATGATGAGAAGCTTTGAGGAACTGTAAGAATTTACAAGCCTTACCAATAGAACGATAACGAAGCAAAAAAATGTCTTTTAGCGAGAAATAAAGCATTTGCGAGAAAAATATTCTAATTCTAATATTCTAATTCCTCGGATAAAATGTAATGGTTACCTGTAAATAAACATTTGACCTTCAAGAAATCTTGATGACCTTCAAATGACATTGATGGCTCTTAAGCAAGTTCATGGTGAAGGTCACTACAGTATGTCCCTCATTAAATCTAGTAACATTCATCAAAATCATTCTTAACTGTGGGAAAAATTCTAACCTCAGTTTAAGGTAGTGATTTTTTCTACTTTTTTAAAGCCGTTTACAACAAAAATTTGGGATTTTTTCAAAAAATGATTCATACAAAAAGTGTTTTTCTTTTTTAGTAGAATCCGAATCCGCCATAAAATATGCACATTTCATATGAAAATTTGGTCTTGACTTTCAAATGACCTTGAAGGTCATGTTCAAGGTCGCAGCTGAAATAGCCAAAAGATGCCCCCCTTCGAACCCAACAAATTTTATTTGAAACATTTTTTTCTCAGAGCAAATTATTAACCTGTTTTAGGGGGTGGTAAATTAAAATGGGACACCCTGTATAATCGATAAAAAGACAATTATATTCAATCTACTTTAAATATCATTTTATTTTCAATTCATTTGTCTTTGTACCAATTTTTTGATAGACTGCTTCACACTTATTTACCACTTAACTGACAATGGATCATATACAGTACATATTTGAATAACTTTCATAATTTGTATTGAATGTAGACCATATTAGGTATGCGACTATTTTTGAGATTGGCTGAATCCAAATCTGGGATTAGAATTACATAATTTCAATTCAAAACGGCATCTTTGAAATACTCAAGGCAGGAAATTTTTTCAAAATTTTTCACTAAATCTGGTATCCGCCAATATTATATATAATTATGCATTCAGTTATAACAAACTAATGCTTATAAGGGTTTGTGAGTGCACTGATCCTATTTCCATCATTACATTTGACCACAAAATCAGTGAAAGGAAAGTAGAGTTTGAAGCGAGGAAATTGTTTTTGTGATCAGAAAATGGTTTTTCCTAATTGTTCTTTTAAAAATGAAAATATATTATTGTATTCTCTCTTTTAACTCTTATTTACAATCCCAACTAATGTCGATATGACGAAAAAAATTAATAACTGAATTTTAAAAAGCTTAAAATTCAAGAAAGAAAAACAATCAAAATTAACTCCCTTCAATCCCTATTTTTAACCTTTTGGATGGATTATTGATTAAAAATAACTATGGGAATGAATTCAGAGGGTCCGAAATCCCCTAGAAACCATATTCATGTACATCTAAAAGTATGGATTGCGGCTGCCAGTTTTAACACGAAAAGTCAGAAAAGTTTTGCCAGTTAAGGGGTTAATATTTACTTTTGCAAAATTTAATACAATTTAGAAGGAACGGTTTTCTAACATTTTTTATTTGTTAAAGTCTGAACAGTAATGATAACAATCAAAAAAATGTTAGAAATATAGGGATTTTTTAGAGCAGCCACAACGTATAATTGCAGCATTTTGACAGTATTCAATTTCGCATTTTGAACTGCAATAATCCTCGAAACTGAAATCAATTGGATTATCAAATTTTTACGAGTTTTCTTTCAGATATCCACCTTTAAATTAAGAATATTTAAAAAGATGTAACGGAGAATCTCGGCTAGGCCGATTTCGTCCATCTGGCTCTCGCAAATATCCGTGCGCCGCGCAAAGCTGAGAGTGTGTGCGTGTGGTACACACACTCATGCTTGGTTTCTGTTTACGAGGTGCTGAACACGGGCTGAGAGAGAGAGAGAGAGAGAGAGAGAACGCTCGAATTTTGAAAGAGTCTCTGCTAGGCTATGAGCAGAGAAAGTCGCGCGCGCGGATCAAACCAAAGGTCACGGTTTTCCGAAGTTGGCCCCGCGACCTCGTCGACGTTTGTTCGTTTTCGGAGACACGCCCGGTGCGCGAACGAGTATTAGAGTGTGAGGCTGGGACGCGCCTAGCCGTGTGCCGAAGGATACTCGGCACCGGTGCGTGTGGGTAACCGACGAGGTGCACGGGTGCGCGCGCGAACAGTTTGGACGTGCTGCA